GGCACAGGACAGAGCAGAGTTTAGGGCTGTTGTACATAGGGTCGCTATGAGTTGCAGGCGACTCGACGGCACATAACAACAACATATATGTATGCTATTGTTTTTTATATGCACCACTGAATCAGAATTATCTCATAACTGTCCCTGCAGCGGGTTTACAGAGGTTTTAAATTTCATAGGTGGAGACTGCCCTTCTTTCTCCTGCTGAGTGATTGGTAGATTCAAACCTTCTGCCTTTGTGTTGATTCCACACTCCTAACTCCCAGTCCGCCAGAGCTCCCTGAAATATATGCTTCTGTTGTTAGGTGCTGTTGAGGTGACTATGACGTACTGTGACCCTATAAACAACAGACCTGAACTCTTCCTTACCCTGTACCAGCCATAAAATTTCTGATAAACTCGAGCCATTGTTAACAGCCACTGTGTTATTCCATCTTGAGTCTTCGTCTCTTACTCTGATCTTCCACCTTTCAAAGCATGATGCTCTTTCCCAAAGAAGAGTCGCTGCTATACAACATGCTTAAAATATGTGAGGTGAAGTTTCACCATCCTTGCCTCCAAGGAGCACCCTAGTTGTACTTTGCCCAAGAAATTGCTTGTTTATTATATATTGGTTCAACCCCATTTATTTTTATTCATTAGTTTTAAGAGAAGACCTATGAACCTTTTTGTTTGAAAGGTTCTATATATCTATACCCTTCACTATGCTGTAAGGTGGAACTACCCCTAAGTTTCTCTAAATGAGTAAAATCTATTGAGGTTCTCAATTACAAAAATGTACCTTAATTCATCCTTTTTAACCTAGAAATATACCCAACTCAGTCATCCCTCAATAATAGTGGCACTAATTCTTTCAGAATAATGAATAAAAATAAAATGAGCTTTTAAAAAACATCTCAATTTTTAAAAATGTCTCTGGAAGACAGAATCATTCCCATATAATCTTACACAGTAACCCAAACATACTCAACTCTTTAAATCAATAAAAAAATTTTAGGTTACAGTAAGTAAAACTAATCAAGTGTACGGCTGTACAGTCAATTAATGTAATTGTTGCCAATAAGTTGTACATCTGCAAAAAGCTGAACTGACAAAAGTTTTGTGATTAATATATTTATAATAAGGGGAGGTAAACAAAACCCAAATACAAAATTCCAAAGTTGCTGTTTTTTGTTGTAGTTGTTAGGTGCCATCAAGTCACTGATGATTCATAATGACCTATGAAAAATAGCTGGGGGAACTTTGCCCTATCCTGAGCTAACCTCACCACCTTTAACACACCTGACCCCACTGCCAGTCACTGTGCCAATCAGGGTTTTCCTGCCACAGTCACTGTGCCAACCAGGGTTTTGCTCTCCTGTGCTGACCCTCTACCCTTCCACGAATGATTTCCTTCTCCAAGGCTGGGTCCCTCCTGGCAACATGCCCAAAGTATGTGAAACAGCCCTGTCTGTTCTCTTGACAGTTGTTTATTTGAGTTGCTGTTTTGGGTATTTATATACAAATGTATTTGAGCTCCTGTTTAGGATTACATACAACAAATCATGCAATTTGATTACTCAGTTTGGTTTCATGAGGTATCTGAGTAAATTAATATAGTAACAAGCTAGGGAGTTCTGGTAAATGTGCTGAAGAGTAAAGAATTAGTACTGTACATACAGTCTTCATTAAAATTTTTTTATACTTTTATATATTCTAAAAGATGTATTTAGCTATTAACTTTCTAGTAGGAACTAAGATATGAACTAACTATATCTGAATAAAAAATACAATATGTACCATTGATGAGCTCAAATAAAAATTAAAAATAAATGCATGCAAGCAAAGGTTACCATGTTAATTGTAAATACACATACTTTTTCTAAAAGTGAATGTTTAAATTTATACTGGAAGTAAAATAAAGAGAGCATTTAAAGCCAAAAGACTGCTATTTTGAATGAAAGACACTTCCCAAGCAGTAAAGGAGAAATGACATTTTCAGAAGACAAGGAAAAGGGCTGAAGTAAGTTTGGAATAATGAACAGAAATAAGAACAGAAAAAGAAAACAGTAAAACATGGATTAATATCTTAAAATTATTATTAATGGAATTAGTCTGGCTTTGTAGTTCAATTTGCCAGTAATCAGTCTTGAATTTTTAATTCCATAGAGGTATAAAACTTGTTGTTGTAGTTGTTGTTGTGTATCGTCAAGTTGTAACCGACCCAAAGCTGACCCTCTGGTGGGTTTTCAGAGGCATTTAATTGCACAAGGAGGAGCAGCTGGTGGCCTTGACTCGTGTGCTTTGGGATTGCAGTGCAGCTTCTTGACACTAGGCCTCCTAGAATACTTTATAATAAAATCTAAAATAGTTACTCTCCTATTTATGGACCATAGTTTTTCAACCTGTATAATATTTGAGTGTTGTTGTTGTGTATCACTGAGTGGGAACCAATGAAAGGAGATTTCCCATTTATTTCCTGCAGAGTGGCTTGTGGATATATCTTAGGTTCTCTAGTTTTATCACTTTTAAATTTTATTTTTTAAATAAGTTTAAGATAACTTACCTTCTGCAAATGTAACTGTCACAGTCTCTCTGAGAATATTTCCATTATCAGTAGTCCACTGGAGCTGACAAAGGAGCAATTATTTCAGTAAATAATGCATTTATATTGGAAAAAAATTTAAAACATAAATACAACTAACATACTTTATATAGTAATAACTCCTTTATTCTGCAATTACTGACTTTACTTTTTCACATTTTCACAAAGTGCAAGTATACTACAAATATATACCTGGTTTCCAAGCTTCGAAAGGAAGAATTTGGAAATCAAGTTCACACGGCAAGGTACACTGCTGATCAAAAATGTTTTAAACAGTTCTGAATTTGGAGAATGAATACTCATGAGCTTTGGAAAAAGAATAGTAAGTAGCTCTAGCTTTAAAAATGAAAGTTGAATCTATTCAGTGATTAAGTTTGGATAGTAAAAGTTTGGAGAATGAAATATATTGTTACTGTGATTTTAATGCCATAACCAGTGCAAGTATTATAATCTGAAGATTCTAGGTAAGAAAAGCTATCCTGAGTAGGTAAAATTTAAAATGACTAACATTCAAGGGAAAAGTACAGCATCAAAGTGAGAGGTAAAATTGATAATCATGGGTGGTTTATGGAAGCATCACTTTATGTGGTCAAGTCTGAAGTGTTCTACTTTAACTTGTCCATGATTTACAGAAAGGAGCTAGAGGTAAGGAAGAATATACATAGTACATATTCAATAAATGTCTGTTAAATGAATAAGCAACATTTTTACAGAGATAAAATGTTTCTAAAGAATGATGATGATGATGATGATGATGATGATTATTTGCAGAGTTAGAAATTCAATAGTTTTTTCCTTCTTGTCAGAATAATAAAAAACCTAAGTAAATTCATCATCAGAGAACCACTATCCCTTATGTTTTAAGAAAAAGACACCAACATTTTTTTTCTTATATCACTGTTTTTACAGATGGCCTCATAGTAATCATGCCTACTAGGCCAAACATTAATAGAAATGAAGAAAGACTTTGTAACAAAACAAAGAAATACAGTTGTAATCATACCGTTGCTGGAATAATCTCTGAGTTATATACCATATCTCCATTTTTCAAGGATTTCTGTACCTCATGGATATGATTTTTTAAATCATTTACAGTTGGAAAAAAAGATAAGTTATGTCTTTCAGGTACCTCATCAGGTCTGAACAGTTCCCTTTCCACAAATTTTCTGTGGAAAATATAAAATATAAACATAAACCATATAGCAATATACTTTAAACCAAAAGAGAGGAAGGCTCTCTTTTAGCATAAATGTCTATAAAATATGTTTTATAATTCTGTAAGGAATTTCTACTCCTCTAGTTTTAATTTTTCATATATTACATCATAGCAGTCATGCAAAATAAAAATGTAGTATTTCCATTCATTCATTAAATATCTGTATATTTTTGTGAGAAGAGTAAATGCCAAATTTTGGTCCTGTCCAAATAATGTCCCAATAAATATACAATGTTTGAAAACGCTGTTAAACAGAGAAGTCATGTACTTTTTATACTTCCTTTTTTTAACTTCTCATTGTGATTCGTGTGAAAGTTTACAGAGTAAATTGGTTTTCCATTTAATCGTGTACTTTCTTGGTTTTATTCAGTCACTCATATACACTGCGTTTTGTAATAATAATTACAACTTCATAATGCCATTATTTAAAAAGTCCTAATGAAACCTCACTGTACTCTTCCCTTTTCCCCTTCACCTTATCTACTCCTTAATCTCTGCTCCCTCTCCTTCCCATCCTGTAAGGCCTGTCAAGCCTCCACAATTATTTCTATCGGTAGGTAAACTGTCCCTTATATTCTTCCCTTCCTTCTCTTCTTCTCTCACCCAAGCCCCTATTTGATCAGTTATGAATGTCTTGTTCCAGATTTTTAATTGCAAAGCACACCTGTCTGATTGTCCATTCATCTTCTCGTCCCCTATTCCATTACAGTGTTCACCATCTATCCATTCTGCTTCTGTTCTCCTTACGCCCTCCTCCCCATAACTATCCTATTTTTATAATAGTGATTTTATACAATATTTATCCTTTTGTGACTGAATTATTTCACTCAGCACAATGTCCTCTAGATTCATCTGTATTTTGTAATTCACACATATTATAAGTTGTTATATTCTGGAGACTAAGGTGCACCTCATATAGGCTATGGTCTTTGCAATCACTTGCTATGGGTCTGAGAGTTGGACAATGTCTAGGGAGGTAGGAAGGGGAATTGAACCTTGAGTAAATCTAGAAGTTCTTATTTTGTTATTCAAACCATAATAAGAACAAGGGTCAGTTAAATACCAAAATCATGAAGAAGAACACAGGATGTAGAGTTAGAACTAGATTTTGGATGTGCCTCTCTCTGTGCCTTAAGCCAGTTATTTAACCCTGCTGAGCCTCCATTTTCTTATCTGTAAAGCAGGAATAAAGGTGTCATTAAGAGTGAATAGAATTGTGCATGTAATGCACATAGCACTATACCTGGCAACCAAAGTAATCATTATAATGTAGGCTGAGTATCAATATATTCAGGCCACAGTACTGTCCAAAATCTTCTGCCATAACATGATTTGGTTGAATTTCAAATAGCTTGAAATAAATATAAACCTACTCTTGACCTAGGTTTAAAAAAATCATTGGTTCTACAAAGTATTTTATACTATGAAGGTATTTGTATATAAGTCAATTCACATGTCATTTAGATGTAGTCTTATGTGTGAAAAACAGAGCGTATCAAATGAGTAATAAGATCATAATAAGCTATATTGCATTATGGTTTGCATTTGCTAAAAAATAGGATTATTTTAATAAGTTAATAAACCATATTCCTTCTCTAAGGAGCCCTGATGGCCTAGGGTATTACAGGTTGTACTACTAAGCAAAAGAAATCTATAAAGTGCTCTGAATGAGAAAGATGGGCAATGACAATTTCCTCCCATGAAGATTTACATCCTTGGAAATCCAATTATGGGCTGACATGAGTCAGGATTGACTCCACAACATGAGCTTAGTTCCATGTTTTCTTTTGTTTTTAAATTATTTATCATCAAAACAACTATGAGATATCATACCCCCCCAGTAAGAATAGCAAAACTTAACAGAACAGCAAGCAACAAATGCTGGTGAGGTTGTGGAGAAACTGGA